ACAGAGCTGAAACACCCCCATGGTAGCCAGCCACCACTACCACCGCAATACCTTGGTACTCAGAGGCCCTGGGTGCAGTCCTGGCCCCAGTGGGTCATCTTCCTGAAGGAAACCAGAATGATGGGGTACAGGAGGCTGGCCACCAGCAGTAGGCTGACCTTCAGGCTGACCGCGGGGAGTACCACCTTGGCCTTGCTGTATTCTGTGGGGCCCAGCCCCACAGAACCATACTCCCACTAGTGCTGGCAATGAAAAGACTGGAAGGATCAAGAAGACAAGGCTGCCCCCCGAACAGGGGCCAGAGGAGGGAGAGGGTGACATCCGCCCCCCAGCAAAGTCTGAAGTTGCTCAGAAACCACAAAGCATAGCCAAGGTAGATGGCACCATGATCCTGCTGTTCACGTCATGTGGGGGCAGCTGCCCAGCCTGGAGGAAGAATCTCATGGCCACCACAGAGTTGGGAGGGATTCTTCAGGGTCTTCCAGGAGTCAAAGCAGCTAAGAGATGATGCCTGAGAACCACAAGCTGGGCTCAGAGCCTGACTCCAAGGGCACATGGAGGCTCTGTGCCGCCTTCTCCGCACAGAGCTCACAGACTAAGCCCGGTTCCTTCTCACACCAGGCATGGCGGGCAGGCACCCTCCCCTGCTCCGCCAGACAGAGGGGCCTCCATCCTGCGGGACAGCAGCCTGTCCCGAGAACCAGGATCAGTGTCAGCATCACCCTGGTTCCTAGCAGCGGTAGGTTCATAGATCATAACAACTGTACCACTCTGATGCAGAATGTTGCTGGTGGGGGATGCTCAGATGCAGACAAGGATTGCATGGGGGAAACTGCTCTAAAGAATAAAGTTGATTAATTTTAAAAAGTCTAATGAATAATATCACAGCAATACATTTGAGAAGGTAGACAACAGGGATGTATTTCTCGAGAACTATAACATGTCAAAACTGGCATAAGAAAAATTAATCATCTTAAGTAGATCATAGCCAATAAAGAAATTGATATGATAGTCAAAACACTTAGAGCCTCAAAGCCCCAAGCCAGAATGGTTAGGGATACATTCTACCAAACTCTTTAGGAGTAACTATGTCTTATATTCTACCAGCAGTTCCAGCCATTTGGAAAAATATAAAATTGGACCCATACCTGACACCATATATCAGAATAAACTTCAAACACATCAGAGAACTAACTGGGGTGGGGGGGAAGAAACCATATAAGGAAAATGAGTGAATTCTTCTTATAATATGCCTGAGGAAACCCCTTCTAACTATGACTCAAAGTCTAGAAAAAATAAATAATAATTTGACTCCATTAAAAATACTTTTGGGCATGCCTGGGTTGTTCAGTTGGTCAGGCGTCTAATTCTTGATTTCAGCTTAGGTCATGATCTCAGGGTTGTGAGATCGAGCTCCACATTGAGCTCTGCGCTGGGTGTGGAGCCTGCTTAAGATTTTCTCTCTCTCTCTCCCTCTGCCTGACCTCCCCCCTCTCCATCCACATTCGCTTTCTCTTTCCCTTTTAAAAAAAATAAATAAAAATAAAAAATACTTTTGCTTAGCAAAAATGAAAAATAGGAGGAAAATACTAGTGACTTACCTGGCAGATAAAGGACCAATATCCTTAATAAAGAGTTCTTTAAAGTGAATGGGGAAACCTTCCCTTTTTGCAACGTGCCGCTACAAGATGGTAGCGCAGATTTCCAAGAAAAATTGAGAGAAAAAAAAAAGACTGGAAACCCAATAGAAAATGGGCAAAGACACAAACTTAAAATGCACACAAATGGCCTTAAATATACAAAAAGGTGCTCAACTTTTCTTATAAGAGCAGTGAGGGCGCCTGGGTGGTTCGGTCGGTTAAGTGTCTGACTCTTGGTTTCAGCTCAGGTCATGATCTCAGGGTTGTGGGATCCAGCCCTGCATCCCGCCCCCCCCCCCCCCCCCCCAGGGAGTTGGCTTGAGATTCTCTTCCTCTGCTCCCCCCCCCCCCCGCTCTTTCTCTCTCAAATAAATTAATATATAAAAAAAAGACACACATACACTTTTAAACATCAGGAAAAGATTCCTGCTGTCCCCATATATCAGTTTCCCATTGCTGCTCTAACAAATTACAACAAACTTGATGGTTTAAAACAACACAAATTTATTCTCTCACAATTCTGGGGTCAGAAGTCTATAATCTGTCTCACTGGGCTAATGTCAAGCTGTTGATGTGGCCGGTTTCTTCCGGAGGCGAAGCTGAATCCTTGCCTTTTCAATCTCCTAGTGGCCCCCTGTGTTCCTTGGCTCACGTCCCTTCTTTCATCTTCCAAGCACATCACGGCCATCTCTGCTACCGCGTTCTCCTGTTCTGCGGTAAAATCTCCTTCTGACGCCCTCCTCATAAGGACCATCTCAAGATCCTTAACATAATCACATCTGCAGAACAGGGTATGTCAAAATAAAGGGGAAAACGTGTTTAGAATGGAGGCGGGAGGCCAGCAGGGGGAGCTCTCACGCCCTCCTACTCCTCAGTTGCAGCCACCACCGGAAGAGAGGAACCTTACCAGTCCAAACCACCTTAGCTGCTACTTGACTACCCCAGCAGGAACAAGAAAGGTTTCCTCTGACCCTGACAACAGCCCAGCCAATGAGAGACTGTCACAACTCAGCCAATGAGAAGCCAGTATACTTCCAACTCCCAGTTTCCTCCAATAGACTTTTTGTTTAGAACATCCTTTCCAACTTCCCCCTTTTCTCTATAAAAGAAGTCCTCTTTGTTCCCCAGACTTGCTTATGGTGTTGCCATACCACGCTTGTCCCAGGTTGCAATTGTCTCTTATTCCCTAATAAACCTATTTTTGATGGTAAATTAACTGGCAGCTTAATTTTTAAGGCTAACAGGTGACACAGTTTCCAGGGATCAGAACCTGAAGATTTGGGGGACCATTGCTCAGCCTCCCACACCCTCCTCCTGTTCACATGAGACCTGAAGTCAGGGTACAGGGATCGGAAGATGTAATCCGGTAGCCACCTGTCTGCCTTGACCTGTTTGCCCTGTTTAATTTGGGCACTATGATGTACTCAAAAGATTAAGCAGATAAAATACATAAACTGGAACTAGATCTGCAGATAGCAACACAAATCGATCTTGAGAACATAATGTTGCGTGAAGAAGGCAAGTTGCAGAAAGATTAAAATATAAACATTACTTCAAAAAGCACAACATCAATGTTTGTGTATGTGAGCAAATGAGACGGGGGAGGTACAAATGCAGGATTCAGCTATATATATATATGTGGTTTTATTTTTTAAATTTTTACTTATTTATTTAGAGAGAGAAAGAGAGAGAGCTTGCATGAGTGGGGGGAGGGGCAGGGGGAGAGAGAGAATTTCAAGCAGACTCCCTGCTGATCAAAGAGCCCAACATGGGACTTGATCTCAGGACCCTGAGATCATGACCTGAGCCGAAATCAAGAGTCTAATGGTCAGCGGACTGAGCCCCCCGGGCGCCCCAGGTTTTGTTTATTTTTAAAAAACAGACCTAGGGGCGCCTGGGTGGCTCAGTTGGTTGAGCGACTGCCTTCGGCTCAGGTCATGATTCCAGGGTCCTGGGATCGGGCCCCCCATCCGAGCTCCCTGCTCGGCGGGAAGCCTGCTTCTCCCTCTCCCACTCCCCCTGCTTGTGTTCCCTCTCTCTCTGTCTCTCTCTCTCTCTGTCAACTAAATAAATAAAATCTTAAAAAAAAAAAAAAACAGACCTAAAGGGGCGCCTGGGTGGCTCAGTCGTTACGCGTCTGCCTTCGGCTCAGGTCGTGATCCCAGGGTCCTGGGCTCGAGCCCCGCATCGGGCTCCCTGCTCAGCGGGAAGCCTGCTTCTCCCTCTCCCGCTCCCCCTTGCTTATGTTCCCTGTTTCGCTGTGTCTGTCTCTGTCAAATACATAAATAAAATCTTAAAAAAAAAAAAAACAGACCTAAAGCACATTTGGAGAAATCTTGACACCTCTTAGATCCAGGTGTGAGGTGCATGTTTGTTTGTTATACTTTTCTGTGGAATTAGAAATATTTCGTTATGGTTCTTTTTTTTTTTATGATTTTTTATCTTTATTTTTAAAGTAGGCTCCACTCCCAGTGCAGAGCCCAGCGTGAGGCTTGGACGCATGACCCTGAGATCGAGACCCAAGCTGAGATCAAGAGTCAGATGCTTAACTGACTGAGCCAGCCGTGTCCCCTGATGATTCTTTTTTTAATGAATAAAAGAAGTGAGGAAGTGAAGACAAAAAGAAAAATAAGAACTCTTTCACTATAGACCTTAGTTTCACCTGATGAAAAATGCATGTCGAAGACTCTGATGTTGAATTTGTCTCAAGGTTTGTGAAGCATTGTCTAATTACTTAAGCCATTTAGAAAAAGTCTTCGTGTGAAATTTAATTCAGTGTTGTCCTAGTGATGTAAATGCATTGATAGTAAAGGTTAGTGAGCTTCTTTCTTTTTTTTTTTTAAGAATCATTTTTAAATGAATAGGTTGGGGACACCTGAGTGGCTCAGTCAGCTAAATGTCTGCCTTTGGCTCAGGTCATGATCCCGGGGTCCTGGGATTGAGCCTGGCGTCAGGCTCCCTGCTCCGCGGGGAGTCTCCCTCTCCCTCTGCCTGCCGCTCCCCCCTGCTTGTGCTCGCTCTCTCTCTCTGACAAATAAATAAAATCTTTAAAAAATAAATAAAACGAATAGGTTGACTTGTTCTCTTGTGGCTTCAAGAGGTTTTTTTTTATCATTGTGGTAAAATATATGTAACAAAATTTGCCATTGTAACAATTTTTAAGTGTACAGTTCATGGCATTAAATACATTCACAATGCTGTATAAACATCACCACTTTTTCCAAAATTTTTCATCGCCCCCAACAGAAACTCTGTACCTGTTACCCAATAATTCCTTATTCCCCCCACACACTTATGCCAGCCCCTGCTACCCTCTGATCCATTTTCTCCCTCTACGAATTTGCCTGTTCTCAATAGTTCATGGAAGTGGGGTCATACGATATGTCCTATTGTGTCTGTCTTCTTTCACTTAGCATCTCTTCAAGGTTCATGCCTGTTGTAGCATGATCAGAATTTCCTTCTTCTTAAAGCTGAATAATATTGGATGGATGCACCACATTTTCTTTATCCATTCATCTGTTGATGGACACTTGGGTCATTTCCACCTTTTGGCAACTGTGAATGTTGTTAGTATGAGCATGGGAGCACAAGTATCCAAGTCTCTGTTTCCAAATCTTTTGGTTGTATACTTAGGAGAGCAATTGCTGGGTCATAAGATCATGCTGCGTTGAATTTTTTTAAGATTTTATTTTTAAGGGGCACCTGGGTGGCTCAGTCTTTAAGCGTCTGCCTTTGGCTCAGGTCATGATCCCAGGGTCCTGGGCTTGAGCCCTGCATCAGACTCCCTGCTCCGTGGGAAGCCTGCTTCTCCCTCTCACACTCCCCCTGCTTGTGTTCCCTCTCTTAATGTATCTCTCTCTGTCAAATAAATAAATAAAATCTTAAAAAAAAAAAGATTTTATTTTTAAGTAATCTCTATGCCCAGCATGGGGCTCGAACTCACAGCCCTGAGATCAAGATTCACTCCCCCCACTGACTGAGCTTGCCAGGGACCTCTGTGTTTAACTTTCTGAGGAACCTCCAAACTTGCCCACAGCGCCTGCACCATTTAACATTCCAACCAACTGTGCACAAGGTTCCAATTTCTCCACATCCTCGCCAACACCTGTCATTTTCCTTTATTATTACTATTGCTCTCCTAGTAGGTGTGAAGTGGCATAAGTTGGTTTAAATAAAGTGATTTCTGACCATTTTTTTTTTCTGAAAGAGAAATACAAAGTAAAGTCTTTCTTCCCCCCTCCCCTTTGTTGTGGTTGATTATTATATTCCACAAGAGGAAAGCGTGATGGGGTCTGGGGAGTTTTTCTGTCTCTGGCCTCCCCTCTCTCATGCTGGGAAATAAGGAAGCCTGCAGGTATCCAGGTATCCAGGTACCCACTGGCAGGGAGGGGAGACTGGTGCTGCTGAGGGAGTCCGAGTGGGAGGGACAGCGTCTTTGTGGGGGTGAGACGCAAAACCCAAGTGGAGGATCAGCCTTGGATGGGAGGGGGCAGAAGAAGGGGGTGGATACCCTCCCGCTTGTAGGTTTTGGGTGGGAAGACAAAGGCTTCTTGCTGGCTCAGTGATATCCCTGGGGAAAGGTCAGGGCTGGAGACTGAGAGTCAGGAAGGGGAGCATAGAGGGAGAAAGTTTATTTTTTTATTTTTTTTTAAGATTTTATTTATTTATCTGAGAGCGAGAATGAGAGAGAGAGAGCATGAGAGGGGGAGGGTCAGAGGGAGAAGCAGACTCCCTGCTGAGCAGGGAGCCCTATGTGGGACTCCATCCCAGGACTCCAGGATCACGACCCGAGCCGAAGGCAGTCGCTTAACCAACTGAGCCACCCAGGCGCCCGAGGGAGAAAGTTTAAAAGGCAGTCCCAGGATATCCAAGAAAGAGAAGGGCCTCCTTCGACCTCACACTCCTCACAGCTGTCCCTGTGGAGTCCCCACTCTCCACCCCAGCCCCTCTCTCCCTCCTTCATCAACTCTCTGCAGCTGGGAGCTTCCAGCAACCCCCCTCCTCTGAATGGCCTCTTTCCAAGGCCACCAACCTCCCTGCCATGACACCCACTGGTCTTTGCCGTCCCCACCTTACTGGACCTCTGGTGGACAGTTACCACAGCTGACCGCTCCCTTCTTCTGCCCTTGACTTCTGTGCAGCCCCCACTCCTGGTTTTCCCGCCACCAAGCCCCAAGGACCCACCTAGACTTCTCCCGTCTCCTCACTTCCCCTGTTCCCAGGCCTTGGCCCCCCAGGCTGGTCACCGTGTATTTCTCTCTGGCTTTAATGCTCAGCTTCCTTTTTTTTTTTTTTTTGGTAAGACTTTATCTTTTAAGTAATCTCTCCACCCAACGTGGGGCTTGAACTCATGACCCCCAGATCAAAAATTGCAGGCTTCCGGGCACCTGGGTGGCTCAGTCGGTTAAGCAGTCTGCCTTCGGCTCGGGTCATGATGCCACGGTCCTGGGATCAAGCCCCATGTTAGGCTCGCTGCTCAGCGCGAAGCCTGCTTCTCCCTCTCCCTCTGCCTGCAGCTCTGCCTGCTTGTCCTCCCTTTCTCTCTGTGTCAAATAAATAAATAAAATCTTAAAAAAAAAAAAAGTTGCAGGCTTCACTGACTGAGCCAGCCAGGTGCCCCTAATGCTCAGCTCCTTAATTCACCTCCCCAAAACTGTTTATCTGTACAGGGGCCACGTTAGCCAGAATGGTTGTCCCATAGTGGTCATCAGCCTAGCCTGCATCAGAGTCACCCGGGGGGACTCGTGCAATCTCGCCTTGCAGGGCCCCACCCCCAGGGTTTCAGATCCAGTAGGTCTGGCCAGGGACCCAAGAATTTGGGACTCTGGCAGTTACCCAGGTGACACTGACCTGCTGCTCTGGGGACCACGGGGAGGGAACCACTGCCTTAAAACACTCATCTGATTACGTTGGTCTCTTTTAAACTCTTGAGTGCCTCGCCATTGCCCTTAAGGTAAATCCAAACTCATTTCTTGGCACTGAGGACCATCTGTGGCACTCATCCTCTCGGCTCTGCCTAGAAAGCCCTCACCGCCCTACTTGTATGGATCCTGTAATGCTTTGCCCAGATGGTACAGAACCATCTGTTATCAGTGCTCACCATGCACAGCTTGCTCCCCCATCACAGACACGCTCCTTGAGGATGAAATGTTGGGGATACCACTCTATCCCTAGAGCCCAGCACAGGGTTTAATACAGTGCCCAGCAAATTGTTGAATGAATTAATGAATGAACGTAAATATTTTCAAGTTTTATTTTATTATTATTTTATTTAAGTACAATAGACATTTTTGCTTGGAGTCCAGATTTATAAAACAAGAGTCAGACTTTTTCTGGTTGGACCAAGATCAAGTCTATAATCCCGAAAACCTGGCCTCCGCTCTGCCCCCTGGCGATAGTCCTAGTCCCAGCCGGAAAACGAATGTACTAGTTAAGGCGTTTCCAGGAACCGGGGCGTGACGAACGGAGGTTCATTTGCATACCCAAAATGCATTGCACACAGGACAATTTCTGACTTAGAAATCACTAGATTTTCCTTTTTTCCTTTGAATTATTTTTCCCCAAAAATAAGGCTGCTCTCACAGAATTGTCCGGGAGAAAGACAGAAATCACTAGTTCTTTCGAGCAAAGAGTCACCATCACTGTTTTCGGGGAAACAGTTACCCGAGAGATGTGTGCGAGGAGTGAGCAGTATACTCTGGTTTCTCTTCAGATCGCATAAATCTTTCGCCTTTTACTAAAGATTTCCGTGGAGAGGAACAATTCTGAGTTTTTACCCAATTTTTTGAGGCCTTGCTTTTGGCAAGGCTACTAACGCTGTTTAAAAAAAAGATTGGTTTTTATGAGTTTTTTTTTTTTCTCAGAGTAGTACGTTGTTCTGGGCAATTTTTAAAGTTGTTTATTCCGGCAGATAACTAAGCTCGCTACTTTGTGCATTGTGTAGGCTTGAAATCTGCGTTTTGAACAATGATTTTCTTTTACTCTCGCGTTTAGCTCAGATATTTCTTCAACAGAAAATAACTAGTTGAGTGGGTTTTGCCCTGACTTTGGATGGAACTTTTTTTGCAAAAAGATGATTGGGGCGTGTCTTTTCACACACATTTTCCAAAGAGGTAAATGCTTGGCGAGATCCGGCACCTCCCTGGTTCTGGCTCCACGTGTTGCATTTACTGTAAGTTTCTTTTGGCTGCTTTTTTTGTGACATAAGCATTGCTGTTGGTTTTGTTGTTTTCCTGATAAGTTCACTAAAACCTGAGCTGGAGGGGCGCCTGGGTGGCTTAGTCGTTAAGCGTCTGCCTTCGGCTCAGGTCATGATCTCAGGGTCCGCGGGTCGAGCCCCGCATCGGGCTCCCGGTTCTGCGGGAAGCCAGCTTTTCTCTCTCTCGCTACCCCCGCTTGTGTTCCCTCCCTCGCTGTCTCTCTGTCAAATAAATAAAATCTTAAAAAAACAAAAAAAACAAAAAAAAAAAACAGAGCTGGATCATTGGTGAAAAATCGGAATGAGAAAGACTTTTAATCATGGTTATAAGGGATTTGATAAAACTCAAGAGGAAGTTAATTTTTTAACCAATCCCATTGGCCAGAATTTAGTTTTGCGATCCCGCCTGGGTGTGGGGTAGGCTGGGAAATGTAGTCTTTCCCCTAGGCAGCCATGAGCCCTGCTAATGGTGTGAGACTCCGGGAGGGAGGGAGTGAATCCTGGGGAAGAAAACTAGCAGTGTTTGAACCAGCAAAGGAGAGAGGGAATCCATCCCGAAGTTCCTTCCTTGAGTTTCTCCACCTCCCAGGCCAGCTCTTCCTCCTTCCTAGACCCTTTTGATGTCCCCCCTCCTTTTTTAAAGATTTATTTATTTGAGAGGGAGGGGGGAGGCGCAGGGGAAAAGGGAGAGAGAGTCCCAAGGGGACTCCACGCTGAGCACGATGCTGAGCACGATGCGGGGCTCAGTCTCATGACCCTGAGATCATGACCTGAGCCGAAACCAAGAGTCGGTGGCTTAACCGACTGAGTCGCCCAGGCGCCCCTTGATGTCCCTTTGTGTAGATGACCGTGGCCCTGGCTCAGGGTGCCTGAGGCAGTTGCCCTCGGTCCAGCCCTGCTCCGCTGGTTCCCGCGTTTGTCACCAGGAAGACTTCTTGACCCGCTGAACTCAGAGCTGGACCTCCTGAACTCAGGAAACTCCTAGAAGCTTCTGCCTGTCCATTTCATCTTTTAGAAACTAACAAATTGCTGAAACAGGAAAAGAAACATCTGGGAACCATACCTGTCCAGGTGAGTCAGAAAGTGCCCACAGGTACCTCAGCTTCATTATAAAATTATAATCCCTCTCTAAATATCCATCCCAAACCCCAATAAAAGGAGCCTTCTTCCCCCCCCCCCCCCCCCCCGCCCGGGGAGTCACAGCTTTGGAAACTCTTCCTTGAGGTCTCCTTATTTGTACAAATAAAGTGACCTTGCAAGGCAGACACCTGCACTCTGTGTGGTCTGGGTCTACAGCTCACCAAGGAGCGGGCTCACGTTGTCTGGTGACATATTCAAACCCTAAGAGGGTCATTTTCCTTTCTTTCTCCCCAGCAAACTGCTCCTCACTTGCCAGCTCGGGTCAGTCAGAATTAAATGCTGGCGGCCAGTGCTGTCTCTGCGTATCCAACGCAGGGGTTTTAAATTTGTTCGTTGTTCACCTTTGGCAAAAACAACCTAGTGTAATGAGCACCCCCAAGCACCCAGATTACAGTCTCCAAATGCCATTCCTTGGTCAAAGGAAGCAGGCTCCTTGGAGAAATGGAGAGTGCAGGCGCCAGCCAGGAAATGTGCCCCTCACAGAGTCTCCCAAAAGCCAAAAATGATATCGATGGACCATTAAGAAGATTCATACATTCAAAGGATCGAGACATCTCCAATCTATTTAAAGCTATAAGTTCGGGGCGCCTGGGTGGCTCCGTCGTTAAGCATCTGCCTTCGGCTCAGGTCATGATCCCAGGGTCCTGGGATCGAGCCCCGCATTGGGCTCCCTGCTCAGCAGGAAGCCTGCCTCTCCCTCTCCCGCTCCCCCTGCTTATGTTCCCTCTCTCTGTCTGTGTCTCTCTCTGTCAAATAAATAAGTAAAATCTTAAAAAAAAATATCTATGAGTTCATAAAGATACTAAATCTGAACTAACTGGTCACTGTGCTGATTGACTTTTGGTGTCTGCTTGACTGGGCTAAGAGATGCCCCCAGAGCTGGTAAAACATTATTTCTGGGTGTGTCTGTGAGGGTGTTTCTGGGAGAGGTTAGCGTCTGAACCAATGGACTGAGAGGATGGTCCTTCCAAGTGGGTGGGCCTCACCCAACCTGTTGAGGGCCTGAGTAGAACACAAATGTAGAGGAAGGGCAAATTGGCTCTTTTTTCACTAGAGCTGGGACACATCTTCTGCCTTTGGACATCAGCTCCTGGATCTTGGCCCTAATTTCCACTTACATCACCAGCTTTCCTGGGTCTTCATCTGCAGATGGCAGATCATGGGACTTCTCAGCCTCCATAACTTCATGAGCCAATTCCCATCATAAACCTCCTCTTATATCTATTTATCTCCCATTTGGCTATTTGTGTGTATGTTAAACATGAGCCATAATTTTAAAGTTTTAAATATATTTAAAAAAATTTTTTTTAACATTTTATTTTTAAGTAATCTCTACACCCCACATGGGGCTCGAATTTACAGCCCTGAGATTAAGTCACATACCCTGCCGACTGAGTCAGGCGCCCCTAAATATATAAACATTTTATTTATTTAAGAGAGAGAGAGCATGAGGGGGAGAGGGGCAGAGGGAGAAGCAGACTCCCCAAGATCATGACCTGAGCAGAAGGCAGACGCTCCACTGACTGAGCCACCCAGGCGCCCCACCCCTAAATATATTTTTAAAACAAATTTGTGAGTGGTAACATGTGCTTCTTCATTAATAGATTAAATAGATAAAATAATAGATAAATAAATAGGATCAAGTGGCAAGTCTAAGGACTACCATAATTTCAAAGTTGCGATGGAACATGAACAATATTTCAAGATCTCTGCAGCAACCATAATGGGACAAGAACCTAAACGCCAAAGTTAATCGTGGGAGGAGATGCTAAATTTCAGTTAGAGGTTAGTGAAAATAAAGATGAATTTCCGATCCACGTTTGCAGCCCCTCTGCATTCTGTCCATGAGTTTCAGAGCTCTGGGCTGCATTCTTTTGCCTCCAGGTATTCAGCACAAACCATCCCCTGTGTGGGTAGCAGGTTTCGAATTTATCAAAGCACATTCACGCACAGTCATTTATTTAGTGGGAATTCCTGACCATCTCATGAAGTTGGAAGGTGCTATTAGGCCCATTTTACAGGTGGGAACCTGGAGGATAAACACTTAACTCACTTCTTTGAGGTGGCACGATGATAATGACCAAGCTGGAAATGGAACCAGGTCCCCTAACTCCCGGCCCACTGCTGACTCTTTTATATTCAGCTCCCTTCCCCGGAAATGCTGTTTAATTACATTTTCACGAAGTTTTTGTTTGTTTGTTTGTTCTTTAAAGGTTTTATTTATTTATTTGACAGAGAGAGAGAGCGCGCACAGCAGAGGGAGAGGGAGAAGCAGACTCCCCGCTGAGCAGCGAGCCTGATGCTGGACTCGATCCCAGGATCCCTGGGATCATGACCTGAGCCAAAGGTAGACGCTTAACCGACTGAGCCACCCAGGCGCCCCATCTCGAAGTTCTATTTTGAGAGAATCCACAGCCTTTCTTTGAGTTCATCATCCTGTTTTGTCATCTCTCAGGACACCCACAGAGCGGTCACATTGATTCCTGTGGCAGTTGGGCATCCAGGAGCTATGATTTACCCGTGAGCAGAGGTGGTCATTATCCCATCAATGGGAGAACGTCAGTCCTGCAAGGCGCTGGTCACCTCCCTTTGACCTTTGACAAGTCACTCTCTTGCACCCGGTCTCAGTTTCTACTTTTGTAAAACAGGGTGATAACTGTCCTCCCTTGGTTTGGGGGGAAGCTGTGAAGATTGGCTAAAATTGTAACAGTAAGGAGGGGAGAGGAGGTGCTATGTCCATGGGAGGAATTGTCACCTGTGATGTTGTCATTGCCATGAGTTAGGGCTGAGCCTACCCACCCCTTGCCTTTAGAAGTCAAAGATATGGATCACGGGGGAGGGGGAAAAAAAGAAGTCAAAGATCAATAACCCCCAATAAAGATCAATCAAAAGAATGATCCATAAACCCCAACTCTCTAACCTTATCACCCACTTTATTCCTTTTGAGGAGTCTACACTCTGGACGAACTGAAGTATGACGGTGCCCTTGCGTCCCTCAATGTCCCCACCTCTGTACACTTAACTCGTGCTCTGCCCACTGCCTGGATGGCCCTCTCCCATGCCTTACCCTGGGGGATGCCCATTATCCAGGTTCCAGCTTGCAGACTTCAGCTTCCTCCAGGGAGCCACCCCTGACCCTCCAGCAGAGGTTCAGTGTGCCAGCCCCATGCTCCCACTTTCTGATCGCCGTCTAACTGTCTGACTTCTTATCTGTCTGTCTGCACTTCATGCTGTGCATTCCCCGAGGTTGGAGACCATATCTACGTTGTTCTCTGGTTTTCCAGGGCTTAGTGCATTTTGGTCTGAGCCTCACTTGCCTCATCTGCAAAGTGGGAATGAAACTTACCTTGCAGGGTGTGCTGGACCCCTGTACTTTGCTGCCAAGCATCTATTCCTCCTCCTTCCTGATAAGGGTACCCCAAACTTCCTTTGGGAAACTAATCCCCTCCTATTATTCTCTGTTCAGTGGCTGCTCAGCTCTGAGGAGGTTATCATTAAGGTTTTCTGTCACTTGCAACCCCAAACACAAGGATTAAATGACATAATGCATACAGATATAATTCAGCAAACATTCTTTGGACATCCAGTCTCTGGCCAGCCAGAGATGAAAAGTCAGACATAGCCACTGCCTTTGCAAAACTTAAGTGCCAAGCACACAGTAGAGGTTCATCAAATGTAATCTTTCCCCCTTTGCTACCCATGGGCCGGGTGCGTGGCCGCCTAGAAGATTCACAATAAATATTTACTGAATCAAATTATTTATCCAAAGCTTCCATTGGCCAAAGTCCGGAAGAGAGGCTCCCAGGAACCAGGAGTGTCAGACCGCAGGTAGCTGGTTTATGGTGAAGCTGTTTGCTCAGCCAGTGCCGGGCAGCCTCCTTTCTGCAGGGAGGGCATCTGCTCCACAGCAAGTGGTGTGAGCCACCCAGTTGCCAGACCCCGAACCAGGCCTCAGAAGCTCAGACCACTGCTGCTCCCTGGGGTGGGCGGGGGAGGGGAAAAACAAGACCCCAGAGTGCAGGCTGTCTTGTTCATTTTGAAGTCAGGCATCCTTTGGGAATCCGAAGAAAGCTACAGGACCTCTCATGAAAGAAAAAAAAAAAAGTGCATACAGTTGGCCATTCTGGGGTCCATGGATCCCGTGAAGCCAGGTTACAGACTCCTGAGCAAGAAGAGCTGCAAGGTTTCTTCTCCATCTAAGGTCCTATGAATCTGTTTCTTGGTTTGTTTTCACCTGGGAAAAGTTCCACTCCTCCGCTGCAGTAATATGCCTGAATATCTTAGTCTGTTTGGGCTCCCAGAGCAGGGGGCCAGGGACAGAGGGCTTAGGAAAAACATGAAGGTATTTCCCCCAGTTCTGGGGGCTGGAAGCCCAAGATCGGGGGCCAGCACACGGCTTCTGGTGAGCACCCCCGTCTGGGTTACAGATGCCCATTGTTGTCCCACCTTGCACACAGGAGAGGACAGGGGTGCTCGCTGGGGTCCCTCTTATTAGGGCACTAATCCCATTCAGGAGGGCTCCACCCTCATGACCTAGTCACCTCCCCCAGGGCCCCCTCCAAACACCACCACCCTGGGGGATAGCATTTCAACATGTGAATTTGGGGGGACACATTCAGCCCATACCAATGCCCTTCGGAAGGTCCAAATCCCTTTTGGAAAACTCCTCCCCCAGAGGAGCTGCGGGCCTCATGGTAGGTGGCCTAGTCTTCCCAAAGGGAAGAGAGAAGCTACACGAGGTGCTGGTGGAGATTCGAATCCACACAGAGGGGCTGGCTGCAGCTGCCAGTAAAAAGTGGGCTGAGAGGAGGGGAGAGGGCTGGGGGGCGTGTGGAGAGGGGGTGACGGCCAGTGACCCCAGAGGCTCCTCACCCCCTCCGTGTCCCTGGATACGGGATCTGAGTGCCTTTCCTGCTCCCAGAGGCTGCTCCAAGGACACGGCCCCGTGATGGTGACGGAGCTCTACAGGTAAGGCCTCTGCAGAAAGTTTGAACGTGCAGGTGGGCAGGTCGGGGATCCACTCGTCCGATGGCGCTAAAGAGAGACGTCTCACCGGTAAGTTGCCTTCCCTCCACCTGCAGTGGCCTGCCTCGTCTTTGGTCCCTCCTGCCCTCTGGGAACAGGGACAAGGTTCAGATGACACCTGGGAAGCTCCTCAGGGGGCGCCCACAGTGCAGGTTAGGGTTACTTGGTGAAACCTCGGTGAGTCTGTCGGGAGAGGCGGGAGGCGTTACCGGCCCCCCGCTGAGGCCGCCTGCATCCCCTCCCTGTGAGGGTGGTCCCTGCTCCCGGCAGACACCTGGCATTCTTGGGGCGGGCTGCTGATGCCATCGCGGAGGGGAGCAAAGGTCGCTCAGGGGAGGCAGGGGCCGCCAGAGGTGGGGGAGGGCGGTGACGGCGCCGCACCGCAGCCTGATCGCCCTCAAACCCCGATCGGATCTTCACCTCCTCCGGAGGCTGCCAGCCCACGGCCGCCCGCCAGTGGCAGCCCACCCGTGGACCGTCCCCAGCACGCGGCGAGCACTCGATGTTGTCCCTCCCAAGTCGTTTATTGAGATCGTAGGTCCCGGATTTCTCGGCAGCGGGTACACAGGTCTATTTTTGCCGTTTGCGGCAACCTCCGGCAGGCTGGGCTCCAAGCTAAACAGAGGGGGGGGGACTAGAGCTGGGACTGTTGTCCAGCAGCTGCCAGTTTTCACGTAAGGACTGCAGGGCACGCCACACCCTGAACCACACACCCAGCGGCACCGCATGAGGCTCCTGCTCCCCTGAACGGGCAGGCCCGCCAAGGACTCGTGGGTGGACGAGGGGGCCGCCTCTGAGCTCTGCCCTGCCCAGCGCAGGAGGGGGAGGCATGTGGAGCCAGGGCGACTCATGATCGGGCTGGTCATGCCTGGTCGCACTCTCTCCTGGCCTGCTGTTGTGGGTGACATTCAGATGGTGGCGAAGGAGACCAGGCTTCCCTGGTGAGTCGGGCTGTGGCCACCGTGGCCTTGGCCGGGCGACCCCGTGAGTCCCCAACCTGGCTGAGGGGCGAGGTGGCGGCCTCCACATCTTCTGAAGAGAATTAGAGACGGGGAACAATTCGTGTCATCAGGGCAGGGCCAGGTGGCTGGCCCTTCTGCTTCAGACACTACCCCAAAAGCCTGATGACGGAGGAAGACCCCATGTCTCCGGGTTTCAACCACACACAGACCGGTCAAGGAAGTTTGAAAGAGATTTATTTAAAAACAGAACAAAAAAGAAGCTTTGGTATTTCAAAACCCGACAATCATCAATCACTAGAAAGTTAAATACCTCCCCTAAAGGCCAGAAGTACAAAAGCACAGATCTCCCCAGGCTCATACCGGGGGATGAGCCGAGACCCGTGCCCCCTGCACAGGCGGGGCAGCGACGGGTGGAGATCACCTCCACGACTCACTGTCTCAAGGGGATGCGAAAGCCATCCAGCCGAATCTCAACAACAATAAATTAAAAATTCAGTCGAGAAAGAACACATTAAATTAGAAATAGAACACAATTTTTCCTAAACAAGTCTTTTCAAAAGAGGGTCTATATCCTGGGACAGAAGAAAGGGAGCAGAAGGAGTGAGTTCAATTTCAAGTATTTTCCATCTAGGTTCACTTTATTTTATTGAGTCGAAAGCTTACAAAGAGTCCACTGGCCCTCCCCTCCCGCTCCCTGATGCCGACTCCTGAACATCCACATGCGCTCTGCGTCACTGGTGTCCCCAACAAGGCACAAAAGGGTGGGTGCTTTCAAAGGCTCCCTTGTTCGTGCAGCAGGACTGTCAGCGCTGGGTGTCTTGTGCAGACGGGGCTGAAAGCAGGGCTGTTGGTGCGCTCAGACACTGGGATCTTCCTGTTGAATTAACAAAACAAGTTGTTATTCTTCACCACCAACCCCGTGGAAGCTACACGACTACCAGGGGGAGCAGGTGACAGAGATGACCCTGGTGGCCCCCCGCCCAGGCTCTGATCTGGCTCTGCAGGCGCTCCTGGCCCAGGGACGTGCGACAGCCACCGTGTAGTCCGTGGCCAGGACACCTCCGCAGGCTGGCGCGGTGTGCACTGGGCTCTGCTCCGCCGTGGCCCAGCTCGAGCCCGAGGAGATGGAGGGACAGGGGGGTAGCACCCCAAAATTAGGGGTTTGGCTCCTCCTCCCGATCAGGTGGGGAACCAAGGGCAGATGGGTATATGCCAGAAGCCCACCAAGCAGCAGGGAAAAGCAGCTTGCCTACTTCACAGAGGCTGTCAGACCCACGCAATGCAAATTTAGCACCTGTTCTATTAAAGCTCGGGAAGATTTCTTTCTCATCTGACTTTCCGTTTGTTCTTTAAGCTCGGAGCTCAGACCTGCTGCCCACCCTTCTCCCACTCCCTCAGGATGAGCGCTACTTCTTCTCAACCTGGCCTCGGGCCAGAAACTAGAAACCAGAAGGCACGAAGCCCTCTGTGGAGGTAATGAGGCATCTCTCCTGAGTTGGCCCAGGCTCCTTAACTGCTGAGAGCACAGATCGAGACCTAATGTATCTCCCCACTCACTAGTCCGACAAGAAGAGAGGAGAGAAAGGGAAGCAAGCCCATTTCCCTCTGAGGGACTTTCTCCTGTGACTGCCAATAATGGACTCCCTTCTGTTCCCTCTCCCGGGAAACCCCGGCAGTGAGAAAGCACGGAGGGCTGGGTGGCAGGGCAGACGAGGCGGCCTCCCCGAGGCTGAGCCTGAGCCTCAAGACACATTCTAGCTGAGAGTACCACAGTGGCTAGGCTCAAAGTCACGGCTTCCTGGGGGCAAAGAGGTTTCAGGAAACAGGAGGGGAGGATCGTGCCCTGCGCTGACAAGATGACCCCCTTAGCAGGCCTCCAGCAATTGGCAGTGAACGGGCCCTCAGGGGTGAGGACAGGGGTCCCCCCCCTGCAGCTTGGACGGAGGCTCGGGTCAACGTAGAGGTTTGTTGCAATTATTTGTAAATGCTGAGATTTACTGGGGGAGGGAAGGGACTGTCCCTGGGAGGCCAGCAGACTCAGCTACCCACCACTGTCCCTTCCTATGGTCTCCTCTTAGAACTCACTTTTTCATATCCTCTCTAAACACACTCACTCCCCTCTATGTTGCGGGTGGAGGGTACTGGCTTAGAAGGGGACCCCAGTATGACCCGGGCCCTCCCCTGTGCTGGCCTCAGCACAGAACACAAGGCCGGGGCTTTATACCTTACTCCTGAAGAAGGGCTTGGCCCCAGGCCCACAGTACTCGTTGTAGATGAGCTTGAAGAGGAAGAGGTGGAAGAGGGTGATGAGGGAGGCCACGCTGAACCAGAAGAGGAAGGGCAGCCCAGGGTCCTGCTGGGCCATGTGCTCATCGTGGGCCAGAATGGCCTTGAGGTGCAGCGTGTGGCGCAGGTCCTGCAGGTGTGTGAGGTCGGTGGAGATGTAGAGCAGCGGCGTGATGGGCTGCGTCACCATGACCGGGAAGGTGTGGCCCTGGGGCGCCGAGGTCAGCTCCACAGGCTCCTCCAGGCAGCCCGCCTCGCACGCGTAGATCTTGACGGGCTGGCCGCGCGACTCCACGGACACATGCAGGTACGGCTTGCCCTCGGCGTCTGCGAGCACAGCCAGGTTGATGTGGTCGTTCTTGTAACGGATGCCGTGCAGGGCGTAGCTGTTGTGCAGCACGTCGGGGTCGGCCTGGAACTGGAGGTGGTTCTCGGTGAACTGCAGCCCCCCGAAGCTGAGCACCATGCCCTGCAGGATGCCTGGGGCGCCGACCCTCACCAGCCCCTTGCAGCCGCGCTTCTGCAAGGTCAGCCTCCACAGGTTGGAGAGCTGCAGGGTCTGCTGGACGGAGGCCAGGCGGCCCGGCCAGAGGTTCTCAGCGTGCATGGTGGCGTGGCCGCTGAAGCAGTGGTCTTCGTAGTTGAGTGTCGACTCCATCTGGTCGCGCTCCCGGTGGCTCAGGCTGGGGCTGAGCAGGGGGGCTGGTGAACAGGAGAGCATGTAGTACAGCGTCAGGTTCACGGTCAGGCCCGACGGGGTGTGGGCGTCCGTGATCTTCTTCATTTCCACGCCTGTAACGCCACAAAGGGTGCACGTTAAGGAGGAATGGCGTGGCCGGGAGGCTGAGGTCATGACATGAAGAGCAGCAGAGAATGAACCTTTGGCCCCTAGGGAGGCACAGGCAGCTCCAGTCTCCCCCGAGGGGAGAAAGTCATTCTGCCTGGCTCCCCCACATGACCAACTTGACCCTGTGGGCCGGAAACCTAAAATCCTGTTCGAAGCGGGGCCTCCTGCCAGCGCCCAGAAGAACACAGACGGGGCCAGGACATGGTGGCAGCTGAAAAGTCCAGCCCTCTGTGTCCACAAGACTCATCAGCGCCCTGGCCCGTCTCAGCCTGCTCCTTGCTAACATCTTTTTCCAGTCCTGTAGCTTTAAATAACATCTGAACACTCGATCTCCCACATCTGTATGAATTCTAGACTCAAACAGCTAACTGCCCATTGGGTGTCTCCACCCGGATGCCCGACAGGCATTTTGAACCTGACTCTTCCAGCCCCAGGCCAATCCTTCCCCAACTTATCTCCGGACACTTGCTCAAGCCTTCCCCACACATTTAGAAGTCACCCTCAAATTCTCACGCCCCACGCCTAGTCCATGCAAAGTCCCGGTGGCACCACCTCCAAAAGTATCAGAAGCCGTCCACTTCGGTCTGTGCGGTCACAACTCTGGTCCCAGCCACCCTCCTCTTTCACCTGAGCTCCTGCAAAATCCTCCTATGGGGTCTCCGTGTCCCGCTTTCATCCCCTTTCATCCCCTCACAGTCGGTACTCTGCACACAGCAGCCAGAGGGAGCTTTAAAAACGTACAGCTCGTGGTGTCTGTGCTCTGTTTTCTATCGCAGAGAATCAAAATCACCATCCTCATCAAGGTCTACAAGGCCCTTTCAGGGTCTGGCGATCACCCCCTCTCCCTTGCTCGGCCACACTGGCCTCAACCACACCTCCTCCTGCCTTAGGGCCTCTGACCTGCCGGCTCCCTCCACATCATCACTTGGCTGGTTTCTTGCTATTCAGGTCTTAGCTAAGTGCTTCCTCCTCGGAGAGGCCTCCCTCACAACTGGAGCTAAACAGAAGCCCCACCCCACCCTTCCCCTCACCCTGTCACCCTCCAACACATACTTTTAACTTCACAGAACTTTTTATTCTAAAAAGTTTTCTTGCTTATTCATTCAGATTTTCACTTTTCTAGTGTCACCTTCCTCCTGCCCAGAATTTGAGCAAGCACCAAGAGAACAGGAACTTTGTTCTATTCACTTCTATGTATCCCTCGTATGCGGAGAACAGTCCCTGGCAAGATCCACTCAATACTTGCTGAGTGAATTAAAAACACGTTGAGCAACTAAGTTTAAGGATTTAGACAACAAGCACCCTGGAACCCAAAATCTCTCTCTCATCTAGAATAGGATTTCCTTTACTGCAACAGTCAACGGGGGAAAGAAGCTTTCATTTGACCTGCCCATTCCAACTTGCTGGAGCAGAAGTTCCATTCCCTTCCAGTGAAAAGGTGCAGCCACTCTGGCCAAGGCACACTTCAGCCTAGCGAAAGTCCTGCCTTGGGGGCGCCTGGGACACATGACTCTTGATCTTGGGGTTGTGAGTTCAAGCCCCACGTTGGGCACAGAGTTCACTTAAAATAAAAGAAAAAAAAAAAAAGCCCATGCCTGTCACCAGCCAGACTGGGGGAACTGAGAACAAGAATCTGGGGACGGCCAGGACTCTCTCTGCCTGTTGATTTATCCTTTAAAAACTGACCCCCACATCCATTCTCCAAATCAGTCCTCATCTACAAGAACAAGTAACAGTAAGACCTGTCCTTCACGCTCATTCTTTCATCAGACTCTCCCAAAAGTCCACTGAGGTCTGTGCTACTGTTATTACTGAACACAAGCCCATGGGGATCACTTAACTGGTCCAAGATCACACAAATACTAAGTGGTAGAGCAGAGAGAGTCAGCCCCAGGTCAATGGCCAAGCCCCGTGTAACCACCCCACTACTCCCCTTCAGTGTCACCTCCGTATATTTCAGCGGGGTATCTCCAGGGTGCACCGTGGACACCCTGGTGTAAAGTGTGGACTGGGGACCAAGAACTGGCCAGGCCTCACCTGGGCTGAAGAGCTGAGCCCAGAGGCGCTGGTGGTCCTGAAGTAGCTCAGCCGCTGGCATCTCCAAGAGCTCCAGCATTTCCTTTCGGGCCAAATCCTGGAGCACCTTGAACTCCTTGGCTGCTTTGCTTTTGAGCACCTGGGGGCTAATGGGGCCTGAAACATGCACCACCCACAACACTGTCTCGTCCAGCTGTGTCTTGGGAGCCACTTGGAGCCGGTTCACTAGCTTCTTGGCGGCCACCACCACCAGGTGCACCAGCCCCGTGGGAAAAGGCGGGGACCGGCCTGAGTAGAGGAGGAACTGATGGTCTCCCACCTTCTCCAGGGTACTGGTGAAGGCTCTGGGGGCCGGGCCGGCAGTGGGCCCCACAGTCTGCAGGGCGGCCACCCGCTCCGTGGGATTGTTGAGCTGGATACGCTGCAGATAGACGTGGGGTCGGCCCCGGTGCGCCAGAAAGTCCTCTTGCAGCAGCACGCAGTCGCGGCCGGATCCTGTGACCAGGCCGGAGGCCGAGGCGGGCCCGGGGACGGCGGCCGCAGGGCCGGGGCCCGAGGTCCCCAGCTGCAGGCAACGCACTCGGCGCAGCAGCCCCTCACGCAGCAGCAGCACCGACTCTCCCGCTTCGGAGAGGGCACTGAGCGGGCGTAGCTGCACGAAGGGCACGAAGTCCGGCGCCACGGCGGGCTCTCGTTCTCCAGGAGTCACCCACAGCCGGTTGGCGGCCACGTCCAGTGCCAGGAAGCCGTTGGCCACCAGGGCCGGCACTCCAGGGCCCAGCGGGACAGCCTCGCCGCGCTCCCGCAGGCCGCGCCAGGCGCGGGTGGCCCCCTCCAGGCAGGCAGAGGGCTCGGCGGCGCCCGGCTCGCCGCGGGCCCAGGGCAGCAGGTGCAGGCCGCCCGCGGCCCGCCGCGCCCCGGAGCCGGCGAACCACAGAAGCAGCAGCAAGAGGCCGAGCAGGCAGAGTAGGCGGCGGGCCCAGCTGCTCGATAGGAGTCCCGGCAGCCCCTTAAGCCGCTGCTGCAGCCACATCGGGCCGCCAGGCGCGGCGCGGGGGCGGCCGCCGGGCCCGCCGCCCAGCCCACCGGCCCGGCCGCCCGCGCCTCACTCCCCGGCCCGGACCGCGGCGCCCACTCCGGCCCCCGCCGCAGCCGCCGCAGCCGCCGCAGCAGCAGCAGCCTCCGCCGCTTCCTCCTCCTTCTCGGTTGCCCCCGGCCGTCAAACAGCACCGGCCGTCAAGCACTGCCGGGTCTTTTGCGACAAGCGGGAAAGAAGGGGGCGGAGGGAAGAGGCAGGGGTGGGCCAGAGATGAGGGGGCGGAGCCACGATGACGACGCGGCGGGAGCCGCGGGGGCTGGACGGTAGGATCCCGGGCTGGTAGAGCGAAGTCCCAGGGAGGGCTGGGGTCTGGGGGAGGGGTGGGGGAGTGGAAGTATCCAACTCACTTATAAAAAAAAAAAATACTGAGGGCGCCTGGGTGGCTCAGTTGGTTAAGCGACTGCCTTCGGCTCAGGTCATGATCCAGGAGTCCCTGGATCGAGTCCCGCATCGGGCTCCCTGCTCAGCAGAGAGTCTGCTTCTCCCTCTGACCCTCCCCCCTCTCATGTGCGCGCTCTCTCTCTCTCTCTCTCTCTCATTCTCTCTGTCTCAAATAAATAAATAAAAAAAATCTTAAAAAAAAAAAAATACTGAGTCAGCCAAACCGAACACGTGTTGGGCTCCCTTTGCTACTGATGGATTCAACAGCCCTAAGAGTGGAAAAAAATTAAAAAGGAAACTTTTCTGTAAAAATGACGATCCTCCCTGCAAAAAAATTTAGTATAGATAAGAAAGGAGGAAAGAAAGAAAGAAAGAAAGAAAAGAAAGAAAGAAAGAAAGAAAAAGACCACTGTAAACTAGACTTTTTAGGAAATATTTTGTTGACAACTCTTCCAGACCTGTCTGGCTGCATGTACAGTATATGGAGACACGAGTCCCACCCAGGACTGTCCATTTCTCTACCATACCAAGTCGTCTTCTTGATGTCACCCTGAGTTTTAACTTATTAAATGACATAAGACACTAAAGTCTCATTATTTGAAAATGCCTTTAAATTGTGAATCATCAGTGCAAAAGAGAAATTTTGCTTTGTTTCTGGGGAAAAAATTCAACACAAGCACAGGGGCGGACAATGGGGAGATTGTTTCCATTTTGGTTTCAGGACATTCCAAAACCAGACAGTGCTTCCCAGTTGTTGAAAATTAAACGGTCATTTGAGGCGGCTTCCTGTGGGCTGTGAGCAGACACTGGTATGTTTGCTGAGTTGGGGTGCCAGCATCCTGTGAGAAGGTACCTGTCCAGGTGATCCTACAGGATGCTCACTTATTTTTTTTTTCAAGGTTATTATCAAAGCATAAACACAATTTTTTTAAACATTTTATTTATTTTTTTAGTAATCTCTGTACCCAACGTGGGGCATAAACTCCCTACCCCGAGATCAAGAGTCACATGCTCTTACGACGGAGCCAGCCAGGCACCCCCATAAATACACTTCTTAATTCCCACCTGGTTCACAAACCCCACAGAGTATGTTCATGGAGGTGCAGGAATCCATGACCTACCGTTAGAAAGACAGGCTCTATCCAACCGCCTTGGGAAGGCAGAAGTCTTCGGGTGGCACAGTGTGGTGAGAACAAAGGACCAGGCTTGATTCTGACTGTGAAATGGGGATGACAAGAGAATCTGCCTCTCATGTTTTTGAGGAATAAATAAGTTAATGCAAGCAAGGAATGTAAGGTGCATGACACATAGTGAATGTTCAGTAAATGTAAACCCACATAATTATATTTGTTATTACAATCAACTGTGTAATAGACATATACCTTGGCTCACTTACGTGAATGTTTCAGGGGGAGCAATTCCTAGAAGCAGATTCCTGGGTCAAAGGGAAGCCTCATTATTTGTGCTCTTCACTCCCTTGCCACTCTACCTACCCTCCTCTGCCCCCCCCCCACCCCTAAGCAGGGGAATCACAGCCCAGGGTCAGCAACAGAGCCACAACAAAGCCAGGGGTCAAGAGCACAGAGGACCCTGGCCTCAGGCTCTCTGGGCTTTGAATCTTGGCCTTACCCCTTGCTAGTAAGTCAGCTGACTTCCCTGGGCCTCAGTTTCTCCATCCATAACGTGGGGATTATAAAAGAGAGTAGGCTTACTCTCAGACTTCAGTGACACGGGCATGTGATACATTTAGCTATTCACCATTTTTTACCCATTAAGAGTGCTGAGGAGGTGAAGGGTGACGTCGTCCCCTCTCCTGACCCGTTATTCTGTTCCTCTCTCTAGACGCAACCACCGCTATTTTCCATTCACAGAAATTGTAGCATGTAATATACACTTGTATCTCTCTATTTTCACTTAACGGAACAGCTTGGAAATCCTATCGTTATTGTTATTAAAGGGGCTAAGTGCCAGTGGGACTAGCTGAGGGCCGGCGGGCAGCTGGATGTGGCGGAGGCCAGCACCCTTCCCTGGCTCAGGCTCAGCAAAGGAAATGGATAAAAGAAGGAAAGTGAGAAAAGCACCCCCACCCCTTGGCACCAGACAACTGCCCTCCGGGCCAGCCATCCTTTCTGCAGCTTCCCAGGAAACCAGAGTCCTGCGCCTTTAACTGTTCACAACACGTGCAGCACGTACCAGCTGTAACATCTGGGCAGCAGACACGGCTGGTTAAGGAGACAGGCTCTCCTTCTGGATGAAGTTTGTACCAGGTTCAAGTTCCAGCAATTTGGCAAAGGGAGCAGGAAAGAGATACGGAAGGAACGGAAGGCAGGCTTCGCCTGGGTGAATCCTTTCTTCAGGGAAGGCCAGCAGCCCCCCAGATGGATTGCCTCTCCTGAGTTACACTGACTCTGGGCACGTGGACCACGGGAACCCCAAGGCCCAAGGATTTTTTCTGTCCACAGTACCTGACCATAGAGGTTCTCCTTGGATCCCAGCAAATGGAAAGTTCGAGTGGGTTCTAAAGCCGCTTCCCTTACCAGGCTCCTGCATCAGCTGTGTGATGTTGAGCAGGTTGCTTCGCTTCTCTGGGCCTCAGTTTCCTTATTTCACAAATAGGGGCACTACTGCCCAACTCACAGAGCTGTTGTGAACATAGAGTGAGAAAGAGCTTTGGTGAAAACTGAGCCAGCCAACATGTGCTCATTCTCCACCCCTCTGCTCATCCCTCCATTTCCTTCTCGAAGGATCTGGAATTTCAGTCTGCATCCTCCTGAATTCAAAAACATCCGGTGGATTCTGGCACCAAATCCTGTCTCCAGCTGCACAGACTCCCCACCCTGGGTCGCAGTTGGGAGACAGAAGACCTGGATTGCACTCAACGCCTCTTCACTTTACTTGCCTTGTGACCTTGAGCTTGCTGCTGGGTCCCTCTGAGCTCACTTTTACCATCTGTACAGAGTAAATCTCGGTACAATGAGATGATCGCCAACAGTCCCAGGGATTCTGTCTTCTAAAACTAACATGGGTTGGTTTTGTTTGGATTGTACAAATAGGATATATTAATTGCAAAAAAATTGTAAAAACAATGAAAAATATAAATAAAATAAAACTACCAGGAAATCATATGTGCAATATATAATATATAATTATAGATATATACAATCCCACAACCTGGAAAAAATCACTGCAAACATTTTCCTGTCATTTGCTTTTAGCGCTGTCTCAATTGTATCCACGAGAGGATATTTTTTTACTGAGTGGGGTCATAGAGTATGTCCTTGTTTTCCACTTAGCAAATTGGTAGAGGATTTCCCTTGCTGAAACAGTCTGATTTCTCTTTACCCCAGCACCTAGGCATGGCCTATTCTGCACTGTTCATTAACACCTATGACACGACCCCTCCCTCCACCCTTTGTCCCCCAGGGGTTGGGGGAAGGGAGCCCTTGCCCACCCAGAGTTGCACCCACCACCCATGCCTCTGGAGCCGAATCTGCTTGAAGGAGGCTCCCAGATCTGTCGGAGGGCCTCTTCCAAGGAAGGGAGGTTGCCCCTAGCTGACTTCTGCTCCAGGAGCCCTTGTTCTAAGAAACCCTTGAGCTGTTTGTTGGGCTTTGAAGACCCACCTCGGTGAAAAGCCACTAAACTTCCTTCCTTCCTTGCTTTCATTCATTCATTCATTCACTTACTTAACAGGGCGACCTCAAGAGCAAGACCTTCCTTGGCTCAGAGGTTCTGTTTGCCACCCAGGGACAAAAAGGCGGATGAAGTGATTTCCATTTTTGGTAGAAGGTGATGCACTTTCTGCATTTCCAGCAGCCCGGAGGATCTCGCCAGGGAGGTGGATGCCTCTGGACTCCCTGAACACCCCCCTGTCCCCCAACTCCCACCCACCGTGTCTAGCGGTGGAGAAGCCCGGGGAGAAAGGAGGGAGGAGGACCGGCCGGCGGAAGGACCCGGGAGCCGCCCCAGCTCGGAGAGGCCCGGGTTCGGGCGAGTCTGCGGGAAAACCCCTCCCCGGGGCGGGAGGCGGCGGCGGCGGGGAGGGAGCAGAGGGCGGTGCGACACCGCCCCCGGGGCGGGCCCTGTGCGTGGCAGCCGGACCGCCGGCCCCGTCGCGAAGTTTCCAGGCTGCGAGCGCCGCCGGGCCGGCCGGACGTCCCCAGACCCCGGCCATGCGGCCGCTGCTGCTCCTAGCCCCGCTGGGCTGGCTGCTCCTGGCCGAAGCGAAGGGCGACGCCAAGCCGGAGGGTGAGGGCGCGGGCCGGGGCCCGGGGGGGCGGGGGAGGGGGCGCTGGTCCGGGGGCAGCTGGTCTGCACGGGAGGCCTGGGCTTCCGAGGGGATCCGGGTTCCGGTCACTTGGCCACTGACTCGCTGGCGACTTGGACGAATCACTTCCCCTGTTGGGACTGCGGTTCCCGCGTGGGTGCAGCCGGGAGGGGAGGGGCACGGAGAGGGTCAAATCGTAATAGCTCCCGTTATAGTAGTAACAGCGGCTTCTGTTTATGGAGCACTTACTATGGGCCAGGCAGCAGTGAAGCAGGACCTCAACCCTCCGAGGTGTTTTCTGCTTTTATCCCCCTTTGCCCGCTGGGCAAACTAAGGCTCCAGAGTCGATTCACTTGCCCAAGATCACACAGCGTGTGGGCCTTGGAACCAGGAGTGACAGCCAGGTGTGTCTTGGTCCGTGGGAGCCACTGGGCATCCCCAGCCATGGGGGTGGGGAGTGGCATGGGGGGCCCCCACGGCAGAGCCATGTACACTTTTGGGGGACCTCTGTGGTGGTCTGCGCTGCCCTTGCTGGGTGGTGGGTCCTCCTCGCTCCAGGTAGCGCAGCAGGAAGCAGGCTCAGACAGGTGCGCGGACTGCCTAGTGTTGTCCAGTCCTGGAACAACGGGTTGTTTGGTTCAGGATCTCCTGGACTCTGCATCTTCATCATGTTCCTTCTCCATCCTCAAGGCAGATTGGGTTTCAGAGTGTGCCCCACCGTTCTGCGTGGGTCCTCCTGTCCTCCCCACCCCTCTCTCAGCCACCTCCAGGGTTGCCTGCTGAGCCTCTGAGAGGAGCTGGAGGGGGCAGGCTGGTAGGGTAGCAGACCCTCACCAGGGGAGAGGGTGGGAACTGCCATTTCTTAGTACCTCCTTTGTGCCAGGTTGTGCCCAAGGCCACATGTCTCCCAGTGGTAAAGCCCGTGGTGACGAATTTCTGTGAAGCTTGGGGTTCTAGCCTGCAAACTGGGGGCAATGGTACCGGAGTCCTAGTGCTCTTGCCAGGATTCCATGGGATGAGGCCCACTGGCGAGGGTTCAGCTCAATGCCTGGGCCATATAGGCCTTTTCTTTCTTGGACCCAGCACGGCCTGCTTTCCTGGAGTATCTCTGCAGGGTAGTGGAACAGGTCAAAAAAAAATCCAGTGAGCCAGGTGCTGAGCACAGGGCTGGGCTGGTGGTGTGTGCAAAAGGCCTGTGGCCTGGCTCTACTCACTGGTCGGGAGCCAGGAGCCCTGTAATAGCCTTTGTTTCCTGGGCCTCTCTTTGCCCTGCTTCTGCTGATGTGGGCTCCGTCCACCCCCAGACCATTCCAGGAGAGAAAACTCCCACTGCCCACAGCAAAGCCCCCAGAGATGAGTGAGAGGGACCAAATCAGTGACAGGCCTTCAGGTGCCCTGACCCCAGCAGCAGGTGATGGGAGGGGACAGAGTAGACAGAGGTAGCCCCCACTAAGAGTGCAGGATCCAGTGTGTCAACGATCCAGGCAGAGCACCTGGCAGATAGTAAGTAGATAGTAGATTGATGGACAAGAAGCATCGGGTGGCCAGACATGGAGCTAATATCAAGCCACTCTCAAGTTGAGGCCCTTCGCTTCCCTTACTCCATTCAGACCCTTTTGATAAGTAAGGAATCATTAGCCCCATTTTGCAGATAGCAAGACTGAGGCCCCAAAAGGTTAAATACCTGGTCTCCAGTTGCTGTAGGTGGTTGGAGGTGGAGTCGTTGACTGGAACTGAGACCCACTTCTCCTGACCCCTGTTGGTGGGGGGGGGGTGCTGTTTCCTGGAGGTCCTATCGGGAGGAGTCTGCTCAACTTCCGCAGACCCAGCTGATGGGGGGACCCTCAGCCTGCTGGCTAGGACGCTGTGGGAGGGTGGTTTGTCCTGCAGGCCCACTGACTGGTGTCAGGAGGGAGAGACACTCCAGCGGCCGCCAGAGAGGCCTCCTGGGAGCTTGTCCGCCCCGTACCCGAGCAGATATGGGTTTGGCACGTGGAGAGAAAGACGGAGTTTTCACTTTAGGGAGCTCCCAATTTTAGGGGAGGACACAGAGGTCCTCTCCCTAGTAGATGCCCAATATTATGCAGGAGATACAACCCTTCTTTCCCAGAATGACCTGTGCTTGAGAAAGGAGACATTGCCTTATCCTGCGGGGGGGGTCCCCAGACCAATGTGGGGGACAGAAAAAGGGTGTCAACAAAGCAACATCCAAACAAGCAAATTTTCATAGAGTTGGGAGCAGGAGAGTCCAGATGTCCCCTGGTCCTTTCTCCCTTTTGTAGAGGCTTCTAGCTGATCACTGTCCTCTGCCTGGGCTCCCGCCTGTCCCTGCGGGCCTTGGTTTGGCCATGGAGAGGGAATGACCAGCTGGAGCCTGGTGGCTGCCTTTCTGAGACTCCAGGAGGTCAATAGGGCGTGGGCAGGGGTTGTGGGTTGTGCTGTTCCACGCAGGGAATGGAAAGGTCCCAGGAGTCAGGCAGGCCCAGCTGGATGTGCATGCGCGTGTGCGTGTGTGTGTGTGCGTGCGTGTGTGTGTGTGTGTGTGTGTGTGTGTTGGCGGGGGGAGTGTCTGAGGACACCTCAGGGGACTGAAACCCAGGAGAGTCACACTTGGCTCCTGGGCACTGGGAATCCACATCTCCTGCCATTCTGCCACACCCGGTTTATGGCTTCCGTTCAAGCCTGGGGCTCGGTGAGCCCGGAGGATGGGGGAGGAGCTTCATTCATTCCCAATCCCCAGAGAGCAGACCGGGGGGAGCTTCCTAATGGTGTCCACAGCCTTGTGTGGGCTGGCCCTGCTTGGGGGGGTGGGCATCAGCTGCAGCACAGCGCCCCAGGCCTAAGTTCTCAGCCTTGTCTTCAGACCCCAGAGAGGTGTCTTCCTACCCCCACCCCCAGGCCCCTGGGCTCAGCCTCTCCGCATCATTCTTGCTCTCCAGAAGGAAGATAGCTTTTCTGTATCGGGGACCCCTAAGGGCAGCAGCTGGCCTTCTCTCCGGGGAGGTTCCCTACGACAAGAACCCGTGTGGCCCCCACGGCCAGGAACTGTGCTAAGCACTTCACAGACTAGCACATTCAGTCCTCACAAAAGTCTCTGGAGGAAGGTACTAGGGCTGCTAGGACCCCATATTACAGATGAGGAGACAGGCCCAGAGAGGCTAAGTTACTCATCCAGCAGTCTGTCTGCCACTCCGCCCTGCTCCCTCCCGCTCACCTCTGCTGCTCCTGGAGCACAGCTGGTCTGTCTGGGGAAGTGGGCCAGGAGCCCTAGGTGTCAGGCCTCACTCGGACCCTGGCTTTAGCCCCAGGCGGGTCTGCCGGACCAGCCAGAAAGCAGGGGAGGTGGGGGGGGGGGCCGGGTCGGGCCCTGGTGCTCCGAACCTAATCCTCCACGGTGTCGCCCTGTGGCATGCCCTGCACATGCTCTGGCTGCCCTCCGTGGGACTGGAGCTGAGTGTCCAGCCGCAGTGGGGATGCCTGATTGAGGGCAGCTGGACGTGCTGCATTCCAGGATGTTGGACGGGGAAACGATGAGGCTGAGAACATGGGCATTTGGAATTCCGGCTCACTCTCTTCTCACGTCAAGCTTCTATGACCTTCAGCAGGGTATTTAGCCTGTCTGTGCTTCAGCTTCTTCGCCTGCACAAGGTGGGGTAGAAATACCACCCGCCACACGGGCTGTTGATCGTTAAGTGTGACAGTGAACATAACACACTTCGTGTAGCGTGTGGCGTCTGGTAAGGGCTCAGCCAGTGACGGTGCTTACTAGAACCACGTGCCCACCGTGCTTCCTAAGGCCAGACAGTGCACACCAGACATCCTGAGTCACACTCAGTCCCAGCCACGGGTAGGGGCAGGGAGGCCAAGGAGATGAAGATGTGAGTCTGGCCCAGCAAAGGGAGAAGGGGCAGGTTTGTACTGGTGCGTCACCTGCTGGGCCGGCCGATGGCGCGCCAGATAAGGGGAGGGGATGACAGAGGGCTTCATGGAGGACCAAGGCCTCTTTAGGAGGAGTGAGTTGTGCAGGCAGGACAAGGGAATGGGGCAAAGGCTGGGTTCAGTGAGACAGCTTTCGTGGGGGTGGGCGGTGTTGAGAGGTAATGCCGGGGTCCCTTGGGGGGAGGGGCCTGCCTGGGGTTCTCTTGCTGTGAACCACCCCCAGGCCCCTCACTGGAGCCCAGAGTCAGGACCAGGGGATGCGCTGGATCAGAGGTTTCCAAATGTGGCTGGCCTCAGAAGTTACCCAGGAGATGTAGGAAAAATCCAGACTTCTGGGCCCATCTCAAACCTCTGGTCCTGGGGCCCAGGAGTCTAGAGTTCACAAGCGTCCCTCATGATGCTGATATGCAGGCAGGTTTGGGACTCTGGACTGGGTGATCTTTTCGAGTCCTCAGCCAGGGAAGCAGGCACTAGATGTGTGAAGGCCCTGGTGGAGCGCCTGGCAGCACCAAGGAAAATAGAGAAGAGACAGGCTGAGTTGCTGGGGAGGGTCCAGCATGGCCTGGGGCCCTCTCCTCCACCTCAGCGAGGGTCTCTTCAGACAGATGGAGACACAGAGCTGGTCACTGTCCCAGGCCTGGGCATTGCACGCACGGGTTAAGAGAAGCGGCTCTGGATCCAGGCTTCTGCGTCCCACCGCCTGGTGCTACCACTTCCTGGCTCCCTTGGGCAAGTTACCATTTCCGAGCCTTGGTTTCTAACTGTAGAGTGGGGGGTTAGGACCAGGAAAGGGCTTAGAACCAAGTACGGTTTGTCGAAGGTGTTCGGTAAAGGGTAGCTATCTTGTACCGTGATGTGGTAGAGGGAACTCAGAAAGGGAGCCTCAAGATGCCCACGCCATCCCCTTTGCCTTCCCCCTGCATCCTGACTTCAGGAGCCCTGATCCAGCACCTTACACAGACACACATGCTGGCTTTTTCCATCCATGAAACGTGACACTTTTTCTGTCCCCAGCAGCCCCTGCCAAGGACAGGAGGGCCTCAGAGCTGGTGACTCGCCTCTCCTCACTTGTGGGGGAGACTTCACCATCCTGGCAAGAATTGGGGGAGCCTTTCTTCAAGTGTGAGCAGCAGCCCGCTTACCTGGTCCCCAGGGTCAGGTGGTGAGGCCTCCCCTCTCCACACCTGCCTAGTGAATCCACCCCAGGTCTTTGGGCCCACTTCCAGTGGATTCCTGCCAAAACCTGCTGGGCCGCCCCCTGCTCTGGGGCCTGCAGCCTGCCGAGCTCTGCCAGCTCAGCCAGCTCTGCCCAGCAGGACCCCTTTGTTCTCTCAGCCCGGGCCCCTCTTGCTTTCACAGAGTGGGGGTGTAAGGGAAGGCCTTACTTGCCTGTGTTGGGTGGGTCTGTTTACCCAGAAAAGCATTATGTCCTGGACCCCAGTGAAAACAGTCATGAGCACTGCAAATGGGTGGGTGGGGGGGGGTCCTGCCTCTAAGGGCAGGAGAGAGGTCAGGAGAAATCTGAGAAGGCTTCATAGAGGTGGTGGCAGGAAAGGGGTGTCACTGTTACTGACCCTGGGACCTGGAGGAAGATTAGGGAAAGGGTAGAGGGAGGGGGAGCTGGGGCAGAAGGGGAAGAGCCCAGTAAGGTGAGACCCCTGGCTGGGGGAGGGCCCTCTCAGTGGAGTGAATGAGTATGTCACTGGGCCAATCAGGGAGGGCCTTGAATGCCAGGGCAAGGTGTTTGCCTCTCACTGATCAGTTCTTGAAGTAGGCACAGCGGTGTCAGTTACCCACGGGCAACCACGGTCCGGAAGCAGATGATCCTCCTTCTGAGAACATGTCAGTACTAGCCTAACTGTGTCACAATGCTACATCTTCATCTTATTTCCTCTTATCCTGTAGTGTGTGTGGGGTTTTTTTGTTTTTTTGAGAGAGAGTGCTCACACAAGCTGGGGGGAGAGGGGCAGAGGGAGGGGGAGAAGCAGACTCCCCACGGAGCAGGGAGCCAAATGCTGGGCTTGATCCCAGGACCCTGAGATTATGACCTGAGCAAAGGCAGATGCTTAATGGACTGAGCCACCCAGGTGCCCCTTGTCGTTTAGGGTTTTTATATCTCACACCATCACAAGAAGGGGGAGTTCAGTGCAGTGAGGTATTTTTTTTTTTAAAGATTTTATTTATTTATTTGAGAGAGAATGAGAGATAGAGAGCACGAGAGGGAAGAGGGTCAGAGGGAGAAGCAGACTCCCCGCTGAGCAGGGAGCCCGATGTGGGACTCGATCCCGGGACTCCAGGATCATGACCTGAGCCGAAGGCAGTTGCTTAACCAACTGAGCCACCCAGGCGCCCCTGCAGTGAGGTATTTTGAGAGGCCCCATTGATATAATGTTTATTGCAGTATATTGTTATTATTGTCCTATTTTATATGGCTAATCTCTTACTGTGCCTGATTTATAATTAAACTGCGTCATAGGTATGGACCCAGAGGAAGAAACATAGTATGTATAGGGTCTGGTACTCTGTGGTTTCAGGCATCCACTGGGGGTCTTGGAATTCATCTCCCATGGATAAAGGGGGGGCTACAGGGCTCGAACTCCATAACCCGAAGACCAAGAGTCGTGTGCTCTACTGACGACCAAGCCAGCCAGATGCCCCTGCTATACTGTTATTGTCCCTATTTTACAAAGGGGAAACTGGAGCCCAGAAAAATCAGGGACTTGTCCAAGGTCACAGAACTGGTAAGAAGCAAAGCTAGGATTCTGACCAGGCAGGCCAGCTACAGAGCCTTTACTTCTCAGATAACACAGCTTCAAATTGTGATCTGGAAGGGACTGTCCCAGGGCTCCCAGAGATGCTGTCTGGGGAGTTGTTTCCAGCAGGTTCTATTGCAGAGGTGAAGCCACACTACAGAGCCTGAGAAGGTCTCTTGTTAAAAAGGTTGTACAACTGCTCTGGTCAAAGCTAAGGATTTATTTCTTTTCTTTCTTCTGTGAAGATTTTGTTTATTTATTTGAGAGAGAGAGCATGAGCAATGGGAGTGGCAGGCAGAGGGAGAGGGAGAAGCAGACTCCCCACTGAGCAGGGAGCCTGACATGGGGCTCGATCCCAGGACCCTGGGGCCATGACGTGAGCCAGAGGCAGACCCTTAACTGACTGAGCCCCCCAGGTGCCCCAGAAGCTAAGGATTTCAAGTCGGTTTCCACTCAGGATCTGCTCACAGGTTCTCCCGTGGTGGCCTAGTGAGGCTCGGCAAGACCGTTGGGATAGATGAGCAGTGTGTGCCCCGGGCACAGGCTTGGAGAGCAGTGGCCGTCCCTGGGCCCCTGTCCAGCATTGGCCAGAGAGGTGTTCAGCATTCCTGGTGTTCAGCATTCCGGGCGAATCCTTGCCTCCGCCCCTGTGCAAGGCCAGAGCCCCCTAAATGCGGAGAGACCCAGCCCCACAGTGCGACGTGCAGACACCTCTGCTCTGGACACCTCCTGTCACGCCAGTCCGTTCCCAGGTGGATGGGACCCTGGAGGAGAATTGGGAGACCTGGGTTCCGACCTTTGGCACGTCCTTCCGACCTGGGCCTTGGGCCCTTGTCTATAACGGGTAGACACGAGGACACATCCTGCTGGGATTTGACACATCTGGGAACAATGACCTGCTCTTGCCTGTCGCCCCTCCTGCTCCAGTGCGGTTCACCATGCCCTTCTCTGTCCGCAGACAACCTGTTAGTCCTCACGGTGGCCACGAGGGAGACCGAAGGGTTCCGGCGCTTCAAGCGTTCGGGCCAGTTCTTCAACTACAAGATCCAGGTAAGGGGCTCCCCCAGGGGGGGGAGGGGGGCAGGACAGCCAAGGGGTGGCGGGAGAGTCCAGGAGCTGGGTTTTTGCCCTTCCCAAACTGATGAGGGCCACTGGGAAAGCTTCTGGAAGCCCAAAAGATGAGGACGAGTTAGGAAAAGCAAGAGGGGGAGAACGTAAACAAAGTCTGGGAGGTGCTGGAGATGGGAGAGTGAGTAAGTGAGACAGGAGGATTATGTGGCCATGCCCACGCTAGGGGGGGTGTGTGTGTGGCTGGTTTAGAAGGCAGGGCCTGGGAACCAGCATTTGCACCAGTCCCCCCAGGTGATTTTGGGATGGCCATAGGTTAGAGATGGTACCTGTGTAAACACCGCTCTAAAGAAACCCAGGCCAATGCCCAGTCTGCTTGGTGTCCTCTGTGTGCGGTGTGTGGGGCTTAGCCCTGCAGGGAGACATTCCTCCATTTACCTGAGTGTGCTGAGTGCCTCCTCCTGCCAGGCACAGTGGTAGGCGCTGGGAACAGAACGGTGGACAAGGCAGACCATGGCACTGCCTACACAGCTTACAGTCTAGTGGCATTAAGCCAGAAAGAAAATAGATTAGTTCACATGAATGCGGGTTGAAGCAGAGGGTTGCTTCAGGCATAGCTGGATCTAGGGGTTCAAGCTCCATGATAAGGGCTTCGTCTTTCCATCTCTAGGTCCTGTTGGTCTTCCTTTGCCGACACGCTCTCTCTGCATGGTGGCAAGATGACCACCAGCTACAGACCCACATGCCCCAGCTTCTCAACCTCAGCAGAACTAGACAGCCTTTCCTTAGTTTGAACAGAAGAGCCCCAGGGAAGACTCCCACAGGCCATGCTTAGGTCTCAGGGTTCCCAGAAGGATGGAACACACTGACGGGTCAGGTGTGGTCACATGACCCAACCCCCCTCCCCCAGGCCCATCAGCTTCAGGTACCTTGTAGAACGGCTTCCCCATAGGTGCTGGACAGACACAGGCAGAGATGGTCACTGTCCAGGTGGGGGTGAAATTTTGGCTGGTGAGATAGTTCTTTGCCAAAAGCCCATGTTAAGGGGCCTTTCTCTGCAGGCACTGGGCCTGGGAGAGGACTGGAGTGAGAAGGGGTCGTCGGCCGGTGGAGGGCTGAAGGTCCGGCTGCTAAAGAAAGCTCTGGAGAAGCACGCGGACAAGGAGAACCTGGTCATTCTCTTCACGGACAGGTAGGTAGCTGGGGGCCTCCTGGGCAGGGCCCCTCAGCAGAGAGATGGAATATTCTAGAGTGAGGCCCTTGCAGAATAAGGGGGAGGAGGGGGGATCACTCCAGCTGAGGTTGTCTATAGTTTTTTTTTGGGGGGGGGTCTGTTGAGCCCAGAAAAGACCATTCCCATTGGTGGTGAGGAGGTGCGCAAGGGGGCCCGCCCAGGTCGGGTGAGCCATGCTTCGAGCGTGAGGAGGGCACCGGGGTGGGGACCATCTCTCTGCCCAGGGTGGGGTGGAAACACTGCAGGCCAGGCCGGAGACAACAGGGCAGATCCGTTTCCCAGGGGTGGCTCGGAAGGAGGTGCCCTCGTGAGCCCCTGCTCACCTCTGCCCTGCTCCCGATTCCCCCGGCTCTGGCTGCAGCTACGACGTGGTATTTGCATCGGGGCCTCGAGAGCTCCTGAAGAAGTTCCGACAGGCCAGGAGTCAGGTGGTCTTCTCGGCCGAGGAGCTCATTTACCCGGACCGCAGGCTGGAGGCCAAGTACCCGGCCGTGTCCGACGGCAAGAGGTTCCTGGGCTCTGGAGGTGAGGAGCCTGGGTGCAGAGAGCATGGCAGGGCTGGGCGGACTCCAGAGGGGTCCGTCCACTGCCATCGGGATGTCCCCCCTGCAGTCGGCCTCATCTCGTGAACAGCCACCCATCTGCACAGGGGAAAACCGGAGTCACCCCTGAATGTCCTCCCTCGGGCCCCCCACCCCTCAGTCCGTGGGCCGGTCATGCCGCTCCCGCTTTGAAAGACCTCTCGAGTCCACCCCGACTGGCACCGCCTCCCTTGGCTCCTGGCCGGTTGTAGTAGTCTCCTGCCTGCTCTGCCAACCTCTACCCTCACCCCTTCCAGGCCATTCTCCATCCAGCAGCCAGGCACAACCACATCACTCAATGGCTTCATATTGCATGGAGACTAAAATCTGTATTTTATTCTGGATTCCTCTGTCCAGCCACAGAAGAGGGTCCGCCCCCTGGCAGCCACGTTTCCCCATTGGCCGAGAGAGTTAGCACCATCTAGATGGCCTGGTCCTGGCCCAGGGCTGGCGGTGTTCTCCCTTTCCCTGGCTGGCCCCTTTTCCCGTTTTTCTCTCCCCTTACCCATCTGCACTGTGGCCAAGGTGCCGTGTGGGCTTCTTCCTCTGAGCGCCCCCATGCACTGAGTGACCGTGGCCCAGCCTCTGCCCTTCTCTGGGCCAAGTTTCCCAGATGACTATAGAAAGGGGGCTCCTGGCCTCTGCGCCACCAGCTATGCTCTCCAGGGACTCCTGGTCTGATCCATTCGTTCACCGCCCGTGTGGCGCCCAGCACCTGAGCTGGGGCAGCTTAGTGGGTACAGTGATCTTTCTCTGCGAGCTCAGTGGGAATTTGTCACCAAGTGGCATTAGCTAGCAAGGCACTTTCAGCTTACGGACACTACCTCTGCTCAATCCAGGAGGACTTCTAAGAGAAGGTGAAGGAGGGGAGGTGAATGAAAGTGGATGCTGGGACAGGGCCCCTGACTTGGAGGCCGGAAGCTAATGTCTGTCTTTGTGTGTCCCCCACCAACCTGCAGGCTTCATCGGTTATGCCCCCAACCTCAGCAAACTTGTGTCCGAGTGGGAAGGCCAGGACAGTGACAGCGACCAGCTCTTTTATACCAAGATCTTCTTGGACCCGGAGAAGAGGGTAAGGGCCAGCCGGGGGGGGGGGGTGTGTGTCGGAGGCGGGGGGGTGGCGCTGGGGCATCTTAATGCTGGATCTTGATGCTGCAGTGGGAGCAGCGCCCCTGAGGCCTGACCCCCTGGGTTGGGCATTGACACCCCCATGTATCCATTCACCGATTCACCGATGTATTCAGCAGCTACTTATTGGGCGCCTGTGTGTGAGATGCTGTCAGGTGCAGGGTCGGGATGTGGCAGTGAATGAGACAGTTGGGGTCTCCACCCTCATGGACCCTCAGGTCGGGGAGGCAGGAGTTTATGACCT